CGAGTCGCCCGTGGCTCGGCCCGTCACGCCGTCTTCGCCCGCGGCTCGGGTCCTCACGTCGCCTTCATCAGCGGATCGGCCCGCGACACCGGCCGCGCCACGGCCCACTATGCCGAGCTCGCCATCGGCCCGGTCTGGGATGCCGGAGTCGCCAGCTGCTTCGTCTGCTCTGCCGGTTTCGCCGGTGGGCCAGCCTTCTTCGCCGACTGAGTCCGAGGCTACCGTGCCTGGCTCCTCGTCACCGGCTGACTCGTCAACGTCGCCGTCCTCCAGCCCGCTGCAGGCTGCTCCGTCGACCTCGGTGGTTCCTGTGTCTCGACCACATACACGCAGTCGCAGTGGCATTTTCAAACCTAAGGAACGTACGGATGGTACGGTTGCTTGGTTGGCTGCTTGTTTGGCTGCTGCTGTTGCGGATCCATCTTCTGAGCCTCGCTCATATCAGGCTGCCCTGCGCATTTCACATTGGCGAGAGGCTATGGAGCAGGAGTTTCATGCTCTTCTTCGTAACAAGACATGGACTCTCATTCCTCCACTACCACGGGTAAATGTTATTGACTCAAAATGGGTATTCAAAGTGAAGAAGCATTCGGATGGATCTATTGAGTGTTACAAAGCGCGACTTGTTGCTCGCGGTTTTCGGCAGCGTCATGGTCTTGACTATGAGGACACCTTCAGTCCTGTCGTCAAGCCTACCACTATTCGGCTTCTTCTCTCCATTGCTGTTTCTCGTGGTTGGTCCCTTCGTCAACTTGATGTGCAGAATGCTTTTCTACATGGATTTTTGGAGGAAGAGGTTTATATGAAACAGCCGCCTGGTTTCTCTGATCCTGATCGTCCTGACTATATCTGTCGTCTTTCCAAAGCACTATATGGTTTGAAGCAAGCTCCTCGTGCCTGGCATGCCCGCCTTGCCTCTGCCCTTCGTGCTCATGGGTTTGTGCCGTCCACTGCTGACACTTCATTATTTCCTCTACAGAAGCCAGAAGTCACTATGTATCTTTTGGTATATATCGATGATATTATCCTTGTCAGCTCTTCTCAGTATGCTGCTGATGCTCTTGTCTGCTCTCTTGGTGCTGATTTTGCGGTCAAAGATCTTGGGAAGCTTCACTACTTTCTTGGAGTTGAGGTCACTTCTCGTGCTACTGGTCTTGTCCTTACGCAGAAGAAGTACTCCTTGGAGTTGTTACAAAAAGCCGGCATGCTGAAGTGCAAACCGACCACCACACCCATGTCGTCTACCGACAAGATAACAGCTGTTGATGGTGAGCTTTTGTCTCCTGCGGATGCCACAGAGTACAGAAGCATTGTTGGTGGACTTCAGTACTTGACGATCACGAGACCAGATATCTCTTATGATGTTAACAGGGTTTGTCGGTATCTTCAGGCTCCCAGAGATACTCATTGGGCTGCTGTTAAACGCATTCTTCGTTATGTTCAGTTCACCCTGACTTTTGGTATGCATATTCGGCCGACTTCCTCTCGGGTCCTTTCGGCCTTCTCTGATGCAGATTGGGCTGGTAGCCCAGATGACAGGAGATCCACGGGGGGTTATGCAGTATTCTTTGGCTCTAATTTGATCGCCTGGAGTGCTCGGAAACAGGCTACTGTGTCACGTAGCAGTACTGAAGCTGAGTACAAGGCTGTGGCTAATGCTACTGCAGAGATTATTTGGGTGCAGTCTTTGCTTCAGGAGTTGGGTTTGTCTCAACCACAGCCTCCTATTCTTTGGTGTGATAACATCGGTGCTACATACCTTTCTGCAAATCCAATATTTCATGCCCGAACGAAACACATTGAAGTTGACTATCACTTTGTACGGGAACGTGTATCACAGAAGCAACTTCAGATCAAGTTTATCTCGTCTAAGGATCAACTTGCAGATATCTTCACTAAGCCTTTAGCACTGCCACAGTTTGAGGCTTGTAGGCGCAATCTTACCCTTCTCAGTTCTTTAGAAAGTGGCTAAGATTGAGGGAGGGTGTTAGACTATGTATAACTTCTGTACCTATGTACGTATTGTAACACAACCATTATATATAATGATATAAGCCACCCCTAGAGGGTTGTGCTGGTTCCCAAAACTTATTGTCTTACAAAGATCGACTACACATGCAGCTGTTGGACGGATCGCAAGACAGCTAGCTGCCTCATCTCTCGACCATGAGCGGCTGAGGTGCGTCAACCTTTGCAACAAGGCTCGTGTTGGGCTTAGCGCTTTGCAATACGAGCTGTTTCTTTTCCTTTATTTCACACTATGTCTCGACCGTCGGCTCATTGCAACAGGGAGCATGTCGCGGTCACCATTGCAACATGGTCCAGGTTGCGTTCACCTCCACTTGTGTGATGCCGGCCTTTTGTCGCCCATTGCAATGTGGCCATTGCAACATGGTCCATGTCGCGATCACCCATTGCAACATGGTCCATGTTGCAATCTGTTGCCATTGCATCTCCGCCATCATTTGCAGCAGGGTTGTCTCCAGGATCTGTGTGTACTGTGTACCAAGACGCACTTGGGGGATAAGGAGTGTCGGGTGGAGCTTGGATAAGGCAGGGGAATATGGTGAGGAGCCAGCGAGACCACTGTCAAGCGGGACACATGTCGCAAGGGAGAAGCGGTGAACAAAAGCCAAGAAACGAGTAAGTGGAATTCTATTATTTCCCTTTTAAAATTGGTACTACCGATGTGTATAAAATTGCACCCATAACCTGCCCATACGGGTACGGTATCCGCGGGTACCCGTACCCATGAGTGAAATTGTCATCCTTAATGATGACCGGGCGGGTATGGCGACTCTGCTATAGCTCCATAAAATTTGATGATTCCTGATAAGATGGCGACTCTGCAGGAATGCATACTTTCATCAAAATCAACATAATAACGATGACAACTCTGCTAGAGTTGCTCTTAGGCGAATGTAGCATGAAAGATTGATGTAGAGTATGCATTCAGGCACCATCATCTTTCATGTGTTTATTTTTGGACCGCAACTAGACTTTATTTCTCAAATAATAGACATGTCATTTACAAGCAGATGAGAAATAAAATCGGGAATCTCATCATCCCAAGAACTAGAGAGTCCAGTAGTAAAAGAGTTCTTTGCTAATCCATCTGCCACCTGATTGGCCTCTCTATAGCAATGTTTGAAGGAAATGAACGCAAAGTCCATCATAAGTTGTTTACATTCTATGATGATAGCTACCTCTGGGCCTAAGTAATCATCAAATTGGTTCACCGAGTCCACCGCGAAGGAACAATCTGATTCAACTTCTATATTGTTGCATCCAATGTGAGCTGCCAAGTACAGCCCGTTTCTGATGGCAGTTAGCTCAGCTGAGTCAACTCCACTATGTTTCGAACAAACCAACTTTGCTGCCGCAATAAAATGACCCCGGTCATCACGAGCCACAACACCACAAGCACCTGAAAGTGTTTCATACTGAAAGGAAGCATCAACATTTATCTTCACTATCCCATGTCCTGGTTTCCTCCACATGTGATCATTCTTCCTTATTGGACCGTTGGGTATAGTTGATCTGAGGTAATTTGTCGTCAAAATCTTGATGGCTAGTGCAGTTTTTTTCGACGTTTGGACTTTGACTCCCTTTAATATCTGTCGGCGCTGCCACCATATATACCATGCTGCCACAACTGCAAGCTCCTTCGTTGGTACCTCCACATCATTCCCCTGAAGCTTTGATAGAATTTCCATCGTAATAGACCCTGATCCGTCCTCGGCGACAACTTCCCATATGACTTGTAAGAAGCCCGTTGCTCACAAATTTTCGTCACTTGTCGGCACTTAAATAAGCAGTGTTGAATGTCTTCCGCCCCGACTGAACAAACTGGACATTGAGCTTAGCATGGGATGTGTCGATTTGCTAATACACCAAAGCATGGAAGGGTGCCATGCAAAAATATCCATGCAAAATGTTTTATCTTCCCTGGTATTTTCAGCTTCCACATATCCTTCCAAGCTGAGTTAATATTTTTTGTACCTTGCCCATTATATCACACCCACCGTGCACCATGTTGATGTTCAAACTCCTTATGATAAGCCGATCGCATGGAAAATGTGCCTGATCCCAAGCCACGAAGTCTTCCGTCAAGTGATGGTTCAAAGGGATTTGTAATATCCTATGAACATCGACAAGAGAGAAAACATCACGAGTTAGATCCTCATCCCACTGGCCTGTGTACGGGTTTATTAACTCATCAACCTTTGAAAGCATTGTTGCACCCCTATTTGTGATTAGTTTTCCTGTGACACTTGATGGAATCCATGGATCATTGCCAGATATCGATTTGACCTCCACTTCCAACACACCAAATGCAACCCCGTTTAAAGGTCTGAATACCTGCAACAATACTCTACCAAGTATAAGAAGAGCCTTTTCTGTGTCCAGCTTTCAATATGTCACCATCTGGGTAATATTTTGCCCTCAGAACTTGCGCACACAAAGAGTCTAGGTTTTGGATTAGTCGCCAGCACTGTTTTACTAACATAGCAAGATTAAAACTGTGCAAGTCTCTAAAACCCAATCTCCCTTCCTTCTTCAGACCGCACAACCTCCACCACGCAAATCATCTTTCATGTGTTCCCCTGACATGAATGTCCCACACTCAGGTACCACTTTCCTCAGGATTTTTCAACAAACCACCCCCGCCTTTTGAGCCTTTTGTTTTCCTTTTATCAGAAAAATGCACATGTAGAGAGAGAAAAGTGAGGCCGTGTGGGGGCGGGAGCCGGCTTAGCTTTATTTTCTTTATGCCTGAGCTGCTGGAGTGCTGCCTCCTCAGCGCCTCCGGCCGGCGGCCTCTGCATATATATACGACCTCTCCCCCCTCCCCTGCACACCCCAACCTATCACCAGTCACCACCATTATAAACCAACGGCCAGCTAGGTAGCTAAAGTGACCTCCTGTGAGCAAGAAAAGCTCGCCAAGATCAGTAGTGCTAAGCGACAGGTAGTGAGCCAAGCCAGAGCAACGAAGGATGGCGTCCGAGACGAGCGTCGCCGACGAGAAGGCGCCCGCTGGGCTGAGCCGCTACGAGGCGGACGCGGAGGACGGGCAGGAGGGCGGCGGCGACGGCAAGTCTCGGCTGTCCGGCCTGCTGTGGCACGGCGGGTCGGCGTACGACGCGTGGTTCAGCTGCGCGTCGAACCAGGTCGCGCAGGTCCTGCTCACGCTGCCCTACTCGTTCGCGCAGCTGGGCATGGTGAGCGGCATCCTGTTCCAGCTCTTCTACGGCCTCCTCGGCAGCTGGACCGCCTACCTCATCAGCATCCTCTACCTCGAGTACCGCACCCGCAAGGAGAAGGACAAGGTCGACTTCCGCAACCACGTCATCCAGGTACGCACGCGCCTCCCTCCTCCCTCTCTCCCTCCATTGCCGCTGCTGCATCCCATGATTCCAAGCTCTCTAAGCTAGCAGCAACCACCATTGTTGATCTGATCTTTGCATGCATGCAGTGGTTCGAGGTGCTGGACGGGCTGCTGGGCCGGCACTGGCGGAACGTGGGGCTGGCCTTCAACTGCACGTTCCTGCTGTTCGGGTCGGTGATCCAGCTCATCGGCTGCGCCAGCAACATCTACTACGTGAACGACCACCTGGACAAGCGGACGTGGACCTACATCTTCGGCGCCTGCTGCGCCACCACCGTCTTCATCCCCTCCTTCCACAACTACCGCGTCTGGTCCTTCCTCGGCCTCCTCATGACCACCTACACCGCCTGGTACATCGCCGTCGCCTCCCTCATGCACGGCCAGGCCGACGCCGTCAAGCACTCCGGCCCCACCACCATCATGCTCTACTTCACCGGCGCCACCAACATCCTCTACACCTTCGGGGGGCACGCTGTCACCGTGTAAGCCGACACGCCCCACCCCGCCCCATCGTCCCACTTGCTCACTTTTCACTTGCATGCCCTAATCTTTTTCCAAAGCTGATCATCTAGTTTATCCGTCGTATATATACAATGTTGTAACGGTCACTGGTCACGGAGCGTGCACGCTACTACTGCCCAGCTCGGGGTCACGTGCAACGGGAATGTCGTCTGACATGCGGGGCCGTCCTGTGTATAAGCAACGGGCGTCACCTGGGGACCACCTAGACCTAGACATGCACGCACGGTGCCCATATGCGTACATGCAGTATATCCCAAGAGCACACACGTGCTACCCACACATCAATCGAGCACAATGCTCGTGGATGCTGGAGCGGAACATATACGTTTCTGAATTTTCAACATAAACAAAGTTGAAACCTGAGCTAGCAGGATAATATATCTATCTACGATTTTCGTTACCCTCAAAAAAGAATTTAGGGTTCATATTTGTGGTACTACCAGCCAGCTTGTAGGTTTAGCACAAGATTATTCGTACTCCTACCAACAGTGTTCTTATGGTAGTACTACGTATAGCTTGTAGGTCTAGCACAAGATTATTCATTTCGTACAACTTTTTCGTACCAGCAGTGTTCACGTTGGAGTTTGGAACATCATCAGGCATCTGCAAAGAACCACACTGTTTCAGAGTAGTGCTGCAAAGTGCTGAATGCAAGACTGAGTACCGGTGCTTGCTACTGCAAAGTGCTGGAGCTTTGAGGCTTTGAAGCCTCCCTCCCTGCTTTTTTCACCACAGCTAGCGCAGCATGCATGCCCATTTGCATTTGCATCTCTTGCGCAGCAGTACTATTTTCCCTCGACAAAGAAAACACCATTGCATGCATGATAGTACATCAGCTAGGCGGGTCCACTTGCTGTGGCACAGCGAGCTGCCCCCGACACCTGGGCCCCGTCGCCATGTTCATGCTACCTTGTCACAGCAAAGCCCAACCACGTCCAAGTCCATCTCCATCTCGCTCTGTTCGTGTCGCGGTAGACTGTACATGCATCGCTAGCTAGTGAGGATAGCACGAATCTTACAGCACGCGGGCAAGAATGTACGCCGTCTGATCCGTGTTTGTTTGTTTGTGTGTGTGTGTGTGCAGGGAGGTGATGCACGCGATGTGGCGGCCGCAGAAGTTCAAGGCCATCTACCTGCTGGCGACGCTGTACGTGCTCACCCTGACGCTGCCGTCGGCGTCGGCGGCGTACTGGGCGTTCGGCGACGAGCTGCTCACGCACTCCAACGCGCTCTCGCTGCTCCCGCGCGACGCCTGGCGCGACGCCGCCGTCATCCTCATGCTCATCCACCAGTTCATCACCTTCGGCTTCGCCTGCACCCCGCTCTACTTCGTGTGGGAGAAGCTCATCGGCCTCCACGACTGCCGCAGCCTCTGCAAGCGCGCCGCCGCCAGGCTCCCCGTCGTCATCCCCATCTGGTTCCTCGCCATCATCTTCCCCTTCTTCGGCCCCATCAACTCCGCCGTCGGCTCCCTCCTCGTCAGCTTCACCGTCTACATCATCCCTGCCATGGCGCACATGGTCACCTTCCGCTCACCACAGTCCCGCGAGGTTCGTCATATTATCCTTGCTTGCATCACTTTCTTTTTTCTAATAATCTAAACACTGTAGTACGAGATATTGATGGATTGGTCTAGATGCCGGTGAGATTTATCGACATGCATGCATGGGTTTTTGTTTGTGCATGGCTACACACCTGGGCTCCATATGCTTACAGCTGCTCCCAGCACCAGCTAGCTAGCTAGTCGCCATTGCTGCAGATGATGTAGTACATGTCTGTGAATAGTGAATCTGCTTGCGCACAGTGTAAACTGTGAACACTAGGGGGAACATGACCTGTCACTCAGGTAAACTAGCCTCCTTCACAATTGCTGGCTCGTCGCTGTCAGATATGTCTATCGATCAGTTAACTGGTGACACAAAAACATTCCATAAAAAATACAGTAATACTTCAGTAGTTTGAGTAGTACTATTGTAGTATAATCCACTCCGTTGGAGTATACATTGTCTGCGTATCTGCTGCTCCTGCTGCAGCATGTTATGATGTCTCGCTGAATGCAAGACAAAACCGCAGCATGCAAGCATCCAGCTAGCTTAGCAGTGAAGTGATCGAGTGTCAGCCAATTCCTTTCAGCACCAGCGATGATAACTTCAAAAAAAGTACACCCACCACTCACCATCGTGCACAGTAGCGCAAAGTTGAGGGGAAAGTGCGGTGAAACGCGAGCGTGGTTTTGTATCATCTGCTGTCGGGGAGCCATTGGCATCGATCGATGGATGGAGCACGCAGCAGGCGCGCAGGCAGTCTGCGCATAATTCTGTCCGTCCGGACACTGATGCCGCCATGTCTAGAAAGCAACAAAAGCAGCAGCAGCAGTAGAGTAGAGTACTCCGCCACTTGAGCGCTTGGGGGCTTGGGGCTGTCAGCTCCACGCACCAGATGCCCCCTTCACCTGTGACATCATTATTACCGCCATTCTCACATTCCCATGCCGTTTTGTCATGGTAAATACAGTACTACTATGAATTTATGTTTCTCTGACGAGGGATGCAAAAATGCAGAACGCGGTGGAGCGGCCGCCGCGGTTCGCCGGAGGCTGGACGGGGGCGTACGTGATCAACTCGTTCGTGGTGGCGTGGGTGCTCGTCGTCGGCTTCGGCTTCGGCGGGTGGGCCAGCATCACCAACTTCGTGCAGCAGGTGTCCACCTTCGGCCTCTTCGCCAAGTGCTACCAGTGCCCGCCCCACCCGGCCCTCGCGTCGCCGTCGCCCATGGCCCCGAGCCCGTCCATGCCGTTCGGCTTCAACATGACCGGCATGTTCGCCCCGATGTCCGCCCCGTCTCCGGCTCCGGCCCCGGCCCCGATGCATCTCGGGTCGCTTCACCACCACCACCGGCACCACCGCCACGGTCTGTGATCGCAAGGAGGGACGACGCGCACGATGGATGATTCGATCGCCCGGAGCTCGATCTACGTAGTTTCTAGCTAGCTAGTTAATCAGCAGTGTTACCTCGATTAGCCCTAGTAAAATCTTTTCTGTTGTTGTGCCTCTCTTGTTCTCTTCTTGTGCTGGTGGCAAGGCTTGCTATTAGTCGGCAGCTAGTGCGAGGCTGCCCTCTGTGTGTGTATGTGTGTATGGAGCTGCTTTTCAGGCAGAAAGAAGAATGTAACCCCAAGGAGGGAGATGCTCCTGCTCCTGCTCCTGCAAGTTTTTCTCAATAATAAATTCACGCCTCTTGCTGCCTATCAAGGTCGATTTTAAAGTGCCGTTGTTCTTGGATGGATTTTTGCTGAATGAAAAAGTTATAGGGACGACAGTATCCGGCCGATCTTTGGACGCATCCAACCATGTATGACATGGGTATGAGCAGCGCTCGTATAGCCGCTGGATCTAAGTGTCGTCTGAAAAAGTGAAAATCAGCCATCATAATGTGTGCGCAGAGCAGTTTCGAATGAAAAACACAAGCCATCATAATGTGTGCGCACAACAGGCTCGTGTCGTGTCTGCATTTTCAATTTTCAGTCTAGGGTTTACATGCGCGCGCCCACACACACAGTGTGATAGGCATGCACCCTGCAGCGTGTCCAGTGTAATCCAGTTTGTGACATGGCTAGGTCCACGTGGTTCCACTTTGATACGCCTATGGGCATTCTTATCAGCGATAAGCGGCACGGTTTTCATCCTAGACATGCTTTTTTATTCACAATGACATTTGCTTTGGGTAATCAAGCACAATTGTCAATGTAAGTAAGCACCGGTTCAATGTATGACAACGTCGACGGTAGGTGAGTGATGTTGAGGTCACATAATGATTGCGGTAGTCGGCTCTTCTTCTGTGTCCATAGGTTCGCCTAGGGTTATCCGTTGGTGCAAAGTCGAAGCCACAACGGCGGGCCCGGGTGGCAACGATGACGAGTCCCGGGTGGTACCGTTGTGATCATCCATGTTGCGGACCTTGTAAAGTTTTTCTCGTGGGTCTCCTTCATAATCGAAGTTTGTGATGTGCCCGTCGCCGGTGGTTGATTGATTTGGATGGAGTTTCATGTGGCTTTAATGCCCCGGACACACCGACTGGTTACTGGTTGTTACTCCTGGCGGGATGTAAACTAGCCCTGCAGATCAACTCTAGTCTTTCCTGCGCACTTTGTCCTCACTCGTGCGCATCTGGGCAACTTCCTAGTTGATCACCCACCATGAAATTGCTCAAAGCTGAGCACACTTAACTTTGGAGTCCTCTCCGAATGGGTACCAGAAAGAAAGGAATTTCTTATTGATATGAGTAGATGGTACTGCTTTGATCTTCCATGTTGCCAGCCTTGCATATTTTTTCTTGTAGGTCTCCTTCAGAATCGAAGTTTGTGACGTGTGCCCGTCGCGGGTGGTTGATTGATTGGCATGGAGTTTCATGTGGCTTCGCCTAGCCACTTTGGAGTGGGCTGGGTGTCATCTACGGCGAGGTAGAGTCGCTTTCTCATAGAGCAGGGATGCGATGACGCTGGCTCGAGGAGAAGGGATGACGATGATGTCTTTTGTGTTACCTCGACGAGGCTTCATTCACGGTGGTGTGTGAGAGGAATATCTTCTGTGTGCCGCTCAGTAGATTGTGTCACTTTTCATCTATTTTCCGTGACTACCTGAGCAACTATGTTCTTCTTAATTAATGGATGCAACTAATATTTTGCTTCTGTTTATCATCAAATACATACATGGTCTAAAAACACAATAGAAATAAGATATAATTGTTGATAGTTATGCAAATGATGACAATTTCACATTTCATAATAAAAAATGTTGCTTACAAATTGTCACTCCACAACATAAGCCCAAATCGGTCTTTGTAGTCCAGTCATGTGTTCTTTGCCAGTTGGGCTCACTTTACTGGCTTCAGGAAAGCCCACCCAAAATGGGGCTTTGTGGTTGAACTATGTGTTCTCCGCATGTTGGGCCCTCATTGGGTGCCCTAACGCATGTATGCTATAGCAGGAGACGTACGTGTCTTTACTGGCATAGCGCAAGCCAACCCAATATGGGGCTTTGCGGTTCACTACTGTATTTTTCTACCTGTTGGACCCCTTATCAGTGCCCAGACATGTGTGTGCTAGGGATGGGGGTAGGTGCCTTTCCTGGCTTAGCATAAGCCCACCACCCAAAATGGGGCTTTGTGGTTGGCTCATGTGTTTTTCTTATGCTGGTTCACTACTAGGGAAAACCCTATACACAGAATCTTAGTAGCAGCACGGCTCAAAAAGGAGCGCTGCTGCTAATTAGCAGTAGCGCGGGTGTAGAAAACCCGCTACTGACAAGTGCTTAGCAGTAGCGCGCTCGGCGTAACCCGCGCTGCTACAAATATCGACCGACAATGCCCACCCAACTCCATTTAGCAGCAGCGCGGTGCCGCGAGCCGCGCTACTGCTATAGTTGTAGCAGTAGCGCGGTTTTTCTGAGGTCGCTGCTGCTAATTTTCAAATCGGGCACATTTTTGGTCCCAGTTAGCAGTAGCGCTTGTACCGAAAGCGCGCTGCTGCTACTTTCTTAGCAGCAGCGCGTTTTACGTACCGCGCTACTGCTAATCCGCACCCACCACCTTTTCCCCACCCGTCCTCCCCCTCCCCCTCCTCTCCCTTTCCCCTACGCGCGGAGGCCCAAATCCAAACCCATACTCTTCTGATTCCCCTTCTCCTCCCACTCGCCATTCCCTTCCTCGCCCAGCACCACTGCCGGCCTCGCACCTCGGCGTCACTCACAAATCCGGCGACCTCCTCTCGCAGACCCCTCCCCTCCCCCTCCATCCTTCTCCTTCTCCGCTGTTGGAAGGAGAGGGAAACCAGCAGAGCGTCGTCCACATGGGGGCGGCCAGATCCATGCATGGACACAACCACTTGCACCTCCTCGCCGGGTCAAGGGTCCCACGACAAGCAGCAGGTCCCCGAGCTCCATCTAGGGTTTCGGGCATCGACACCAACTCCGGCGGCCACCGGTGAGTTACTCCTCCTACTGCTCTCTATCTCTCTCTTCCCTTTCTAATAATTTTCTCTTCTTTTGTAGCAGCAGTAGACGAGAGCTGCGGGCACAAGTTGGGTGGGGAAGCACCATGACCACGAACAACTTCATCCCCTCCAAGACTAGTAGTAGCCATGAATGGAGAGGACGATGATGCCAAGCAGAAGCAGCCGCCATGGCTGCAATTAATTTTTTTAATTCTGAATTAGTTAGTAGTAGCGCGGGGCGCTGACCCGCGCTACAACTAAGTAGTAGCAGCGCGGGTGGCAACAACGCTACTACTACTAGAAGTAGCAGTAGCGCGGGTACCACCCGCGCTACTGCTAAAAGTTAGCTGTAGCGCCCTAGCAGTAGCGCAGCCCCCACGCTACTACTAGCAATTATCCCGCGCTACTACTAGGGTTTTCCCTAGTGGTGGTTCTATTGTCAGTGGTCGAACATATGTACGTTGGCCGACGCGGGAAGGGTTATGTGTCTTTCCTAGCTTGGCGTAAGCCAACCTGAAATGAGGCTATGTGGTTAACTCCCATGGTTTTCACCTGTTGGACCCAGTTAGCTTACCTCAACACCAAGTTGCCCCTGGGAACCATATGTGGAGCGGATCGTCTAGCTAACTGAGCCTACTAGGGATGCCAAAGTAACCATGGCATGATCACCTGGGTCAAACCATCTCGAATCCGGTGTCGTAGGCCTCGATTGTTTTGACAAGAGCGACCGCCCATAGAATTGCGCTCACCCGGTGTCGTAGGCCTCGGCTGTTTTTGTTGGGGAACATAGTAATTTCAAAAAAATTCCTACGCACACGCAAGATCATGGTGATGCATAGCAACGAGAGGGGAGAGTGTTGTCTACGTACCCTCGTAGACCGAAAGCGGAAGCGTTAGCACAACGCGGTTGATGTAGTCGTACGTCTTCACGATCCGACCAATCAAGTACCGAACGTACGACACCTCCGAGTTCAGCACACGTTCAGCCCGATGACGTCCCTCGAACTCCGATCCAACCGAGTGTCGAGGGAGAGTTTCGTCAGCACGACAGCGTGGTGACGATGTTGATGTTCTACTGGCGCAGGGCTTTGCCTAAGCATCGCTACAGTTTTATCGAGGTAGACTATGGTGGAGGGGGGCACCGCACACGGCTAAAAGATCAACTTGATCAATTGTTGTGTCTAGAGGTGCCCCCTGCCCCCGTATATAAAGGAGCAAGGGGGGAGAGGCGGCCGGCCAAGGGGGGCACGCCAAGGGGGGGAGTCCTACTCCCACCAGGAGTAGGACTCCTCCTTTCCTTGTTGGAGTAGGAGAAGGGAAGGAAAAAGAAGAAGGAAGGAAGGGGGCGCCCCCCCCTTCCTAGTCCAATTCGGGCCAGTCCATGGGGAGGGGTGCGACCACCCTTTGAGGCCTTTTTCTCCTTTCCCGTATGGCCCATTAAGGCCCAATACGAATTCCCGTAACTCTCCGGTACCCCGAAAAATACCCGAATCACTTGGAACCTTTCCGATGTCCGAATATAGTCATCCAATATATCGATCTTTACGTCTCGACCATTTCGAGACTCCTCGTCATGTCCCCGATCTCATCCGGGACTCCAAACTACCTTTGGTACATCAAAACATATAAACTCATAATATAATCGTCATCAAACTTTAAGCGTGCGGACCCTACAGGTTCGAGAACACTGTACACATGACCGAGACACGTCTCCGGTCAATAACCAATAGCGGAACCTGGATGCTCATATTGGCTCCCACATATTCTACGAAGATCTTTATCGGTCAAACCGCATAACAACATACGTTGTTCCCTTTGTCATCGGTATGTTACTTGCCCGAGATTCGATCGTCAGTATCTCAATACCTAGTTCAATCTCGTTACCGGCAAGTCTCTTTACTCGTTCCATAATACATCATCCTGCAACTAACTCATTAGTTACAATGCTTGCAAGGCTTATA